TTTTTTTTTTTTTTTGCGGAGCGGACACCAGTGAAGCACGAACAGTTCTTCATGCTATACCAGAGTTAGCAGGCTCTCCACTCATCCATGCTGCTGTCCGGGGTAGGCAGTCCCCTCTCCGCCGGCCTCTCACTAGCTCGGAGGCTCCCTCAGCCCATCCACTCCACTCGGCAGCCCCATTCAGTTTTGGCCACTCCCACACTTCTCTTACTCTCCTCCTCCTTCTTGGACACAGTGACAAACCGCCCTAACCGCACCCCTCACCTCAATTTGTATCTCTCCGTCTTCATACACTCTGCTGCAGAACACACACGCAGCGGGCGGTCTCAAGACCCAGACCACCATAGAGGATATATCAATGGCAACACACATTAACCGCCTTCCGCCCGCCATATAAGGAAATGACGGATGGGTGGAGGTTCTCTCGTTCTGGGAGGACATCATATGACGTCCTCCAACTCTAACCGCCCGGGGGCGCGCAGTGTGGCTGTCAGTGGTATGCTGCTTCCCTGGGACACAGCAGATCAGCGGAAAGTGCCATTGACATCGGCTCTGTCACGTGATCAGCTGTGTCCAATCACAGCTGATCGCATGTAAATAAGGAAATGCTGGTTATCAGCATTTCTCTCCTCACAAGCTGTCAAGCTGAGAAGAGAGCCAGTAATTGGCATTCTTCAGAGGGGATATCTACACTGATGATCAGATGATGTAGCCCCATCAGTGCCACCTGTCAGTGCCCATCAATGCCCCATATCATTCCTACCAGTGCACATCAATGCCACATATCAGTGCCCATCTGAGCTGCCTTTTAGTGCCAACTATCAGTGTCAGTCAGCGCTGCCTATCAGTGCCCGTCAGTGCCACCTATCTGCTGCCTTTCAGTGCCCACCAGTGATGCCTGTCAATGCCTATCAGTGCCACCTACCTGTGCCTCCTCATCAGTGCAGGCTATCAGTGCCCATCACTGCAGTCTCAGCGCACACCAGTGAAGGAGAAAAAATACTCATTTACTAAATTTTATAACAGAAACTAAGAAAAAACTTTTTTTTTTTCCCAAAAATTTTCAGGTTTTTTTGGTTTGTTTAGCAAAAAATAAAAAACACAGAGGTGATTAAATACCACCAAAAGAAAGCTCTGTCTCAAAAAAAAAAAAAAAAAATGATAAAAAGTTCATATGAGTACAGTGTTGCATTATCATTCAAAGTGTGACAGCACTGAAAGCTGAAAATTAGCCTGGGCAGGAAGGGGTGAAAGTGCCCGGTACAAAAGCAGTTAAACTCTGTACTATTACTAATTATCTACTCCACCTGCCACATCCACATACTGCATTGTACTTTGTGATTGCTGAACGTAGGGATAATCCACCTCTGGCCATCCGCACGCCACGCCACCTCTGGCCATCCCCACGCTCCGCACGCCACCCTCTGGCCATCCCAACGCTCCACCTCTGGCCGTCCCCACGCTCCGCACGCCACCTCTGCCGTCCCCACGCTCCGCCACCTCTGGCCCACGCTCCACCTCTCCCAACGCTCCACCTCCGCCGTCCCCCACGCTCCCGCTCCACCTCTGGCCGTCCCACGCTCCCCTGGCCTCCCGCCTGGCCGTCCCCCACGCTCCACCTCTGGCCGCAACGTCCCCACGCTCCACCTCTGGCCGTCCCCCACTCCACCTCTGGCCGTCCCCGCCACCTACCCCCACGCCTCTGGCCGTCCCCACGCTCCGCTCCCCACGCTCCGCACCACCTCTGGCCGTCCCCACGCCACGCCGTCCCCCCCACGCTCCCCACGCTCCGCACGCCACCTCTGGCCGTCCCCACGCTCCGCACGCCACCTCTGGCCACCTCGCCGCTCCGCACGCCACCATGCACGTCCCTCTGGCCGTCCCACGCCACCACTGGCCTCCGCTCCCCCCCCGCACGCCACCTCTGGCCGTCCCCCGCTCCGCACGCACCTCTGGCCGTCCCCACGCCACCTCCGCCCCACCCTGGCCGTCCCCACGCTCTGGCCGCTCGCCGTCCCCAAACGCTCCGCACCTCTGGCCGTCCCCCGCCACCTCTGGCCCCCAACGCTCCGCACGCCACCCTGGCTCGTCCCCCACCTCTGGCCGTCCCCACGCTCCGCACGCCACCTCCACGCTCCGCACCTCTGGCCGTCCCCCTCCGCTCGCCACCTCTGGCCATCCCCACGCTCCGCTCGCCACCTCTGGCCACCTCTGGCCGTCCCCACGCTCCGCCGCACTGGCCACCTCTGGCCATGGCCCCCACGCTCCGCACGCCACCTCTGGCCATCCCCACGCTCCGCACGTCCCCACGCCACACCGCCACCTCTGGCCATCCCCACGCTCCGCACCACCTCTGGCCATCAGCACGCTCGCTCGCTCGCCACCTCATCCCCATCCGCCCACTCTGGCCACGCTCCGCACGCCCTCTGGCCATCCCCACGCTCCGCCACGCCATCCCCACACCTCTGGCCATCCCCCGCACGCCACCTCTGGCCATCCCCCCACGCTCCGCACGTCACCTCTGACCATCCCCACGCTCCGCACGTCTCCGCTCGCCCTCTGGCCATCCCCACGCCACGTCACCTCTGGCCCCCCCCTCTGGCCACGCTCCGCACGCCATCCCCACGCTCCGCACGTCACCTCTGGCCATCCCCACGCTCCGCACGTCACCTCTGACCATCCCCACGCTCCGCACGTCACCTCTGACCATCCCCACGCTCCGCACGTCACCTCTGACCATCCCCACGCTCCGCACGTCACCTCTGACCATCCCCACCCCACGCTCCGCACCTCGTCACCATCACGCCATGGCCATCCCCCACGCTCCGCACATCCCCACCTCTGACCATCCCCCTCTGACCGCTCCGCACGTCACCTCTGACCATCCCCACGCTCCGCACGTCACCTCTGACCACGCTCCGCCGTCACGCTCCCCACGCTCCGCACGTCACCTCTCCCACACGACCATCCCCACGCTCCGCACGTCACCTCTGACCTTCCCACGCCACCTCTGACCATCCCCACTCTCAGCAGGACACCTCTATAGGTATGGTCAGAGGTGTGAATGCTGAGTGAAAGGATGGTCAGCCTTAATTAAGGTTTTGGTTAAAAAAAAATTTTATCAGGACAAGTAGATTGGGAGCCCGATTTAGTCCTTTGGATAAGTAGTTTTTTGTTTTTTTTTTTTTATTTCCACACCCCTGTACTTACCTGCTGTGTGCAGTGGTTTTGCACAGAGCAGCCTGGATCCTCCTCTTCTTAGGTCCCACGCATGCTCTCCAGGCCCCTGCCTCCCAGCTTGCTATGGGGGCACCTGCTGCTCCGTTTGTCCATTCACACACGGAGCTGCGGCTCAGCCCCTCTCTCTTCTCATTGGCTCACTGACTGTGACTGACAGCAGTGGGAGCCACTGGCTCCCGCTTCTGTCTCAGCCAATGAGAAGAGGGAGTCCCAAGATAGCCAAGACTCCAGTGCACACCACTGGGTTGAGAGGGGGCTTGGGTGAGTATTAGAGAGGGCTGGGGGTGATGCTGCACACAGGTTTTGTTTATCTTCATGCATAGAAAGCATGAAGGTAAAAAACCTTGAGCCTCTTCAACCACTTTAGGCTTTAGTAATAAAACCTGGAAGCTGATTATTGGTTACTTTGGCCAGCGTTGGGCTTTAAGAACATAGAGAGTCCTTCAGATCAGAGAATAATCAACAGAACAAAACTCTTACATGAGCCAAAGTGTGACTAGTCATTAAACTTGTCAGTTAAATAAAAGCATTCACATTATTATGACAACTAGTGCTGCACTAAAAAAAAAGAAAGAAAAAGAAACCACAAACCTGCACTGAGAAATGCAACGCAATGGTTGGGTTTCAAAAACACATTGAGACAAAAGAGGATGGCAGAGTCAGGATAGCCATGATTATTGTGACAATATACAGTGTGAATCAGGCCCTTGACTGGGTACCATTAAGTAGTTCATTCAGGTCAAACCAGATCTTGTAACTTAGCAATCAGGAATTCCCTGTTGCTCGATTGTGTACACCAGACCTCATGTCTGCCAAACACAGGGTAACATAGTAATACCAACCACTTAGCACTAGTAAAAAGACTGGAAACTTGCAAACAACAATATATATAATTATATGACACCAATGTTGGGAGAGCGCCTTCATCCTTATATTTTTTTGTGTCTGAAAAGGACTAATATTTCTAGAAAACTGTTGTGTATATGGCCAGTGTCATACCTCAAGGCCTCGTTCACCCCAGAAGGTGCATTTTTTGCGCATTCCCACACAGCACATTTTTGGCACCCTATTATTAAATCCTATGGAACACCATTAAATAAATTATAGAATGGAAAGAATAGGGCACCACTACAAACCTGACAAACACTAAGGGAGCTGCGAAGATTCACAGCAGAGATAGGAATATCGGTTGATGGGGGGGTGGGCAGTGTGGGCCAGGAGCACCGGCGGGGGAGGAAATAATAGGAAAATCGGGGCTGCTCTGTGCAAAACCATTACACAGAGCAGGTAAGTATGACATGTTTGCTATTTTAAAAGAAAACAATTTTCTCTTTAGAATCACTTTAAGCTGTACACTGCACAGAGACGGGGCTTTGTGGATGAGTGGCCAAAAAAAAAAAAGCCACTGCTTAACCACTAGCCTACAGGGCACTTATACCCCCTACCTGCCCAGGCCAATTTCCAGCTTTCAGCACTGTCGCACTTTCAATGACAATTGCACGGTCAAAGAACACTGTACCCATATGAAATTTTTATCATTTTTTTGTGACAGATAGAGCTTTATTTTGGTGAAATTTAATCATCTCTGGGTTTTTTATTTTTTCTTAAACAAACCAAAAACCACTGAAAATTTAGAAAAAAAATGTTTTTTCTTAGTTTTTGTTATAAAATTTTGTAAATAAGTAATTTTTCTCCTTCACTGATATGCGCTAATGAGGCTGCACTGATGGACACTAATAGGTGGCACTGATGGGCACTTTGAGGAGGCACTGGTAGGTGGCACTGATGGGCATTGACAGGCATCACTGATGGGCACTGAAAGGCAGCACTGATACATGGCACTGATAGGCAGCACTGACTGGCACTGTTAGGCGGCACTGACAGGCAGCACTGATAAGCAGCACTGACTGGCACTGATAGGTGGCACTGATTGGCATTGATAAGTGGTACTGACTGGCACTGATGGGTGACACTGACTGGCAGCTCAGATGGGCACTGATATGTGGCATTGATGTGCACTGGTAGGCACTGAGATGTGGCATTGATGTGGTACTGATGAACACTGGCACAAGGCACTGATGAGCACTGATATAAGGCACTGATGGACACTGACAGGTGGCACTGCTGGGGCTACAATGATCATCAGGGCACACTGATCATCAGTGCCCTGATGATCAGTGCACATGTCCCCTCCTCGGAAAGCTGATTACCGGCTCTCCTCTCAAGCTGTCAGCATGACAGCTTGAGAGGAGAGAAATGCCGATAACCGGCATTTCCCTGTTTACATGTGATCAGCTGTGATTGGACACAGCTGATCACATGACCGAGCCAACATCTTCAGCTCTTTCCGTGATAGGTGATCCACTGTGTCGGAGGGACACAGCGCACCGCCGATCGCCGCGCTGCGTGCTCCCTGAGCCGCGCATGCGCAGTGAGAATGGGAGGACATCATATGACGTCCATGCAGAACGAGACAACCACCTTGCGCCCGTCATATTACTATATGGCGGGCGGGAGGTGGTTAAAGAAAGAGAAAAAAAAAAAAAAAAAGACTATACATTCTGAGTTTGACAAACAGCATGTGTGAAAAACTCCAAACACACGGAAGAAGGTTCTCTGGTCGAATGGGACAAAATTGAACTTTTTGGCCTTCATGTATTGTGCAAACCCAACATTCTGAGAACACCATTCCCACAGTGAAGCATAGTGGTGGCAGCATGCTATGGGGATGCTTCTCACTGGTAGGGATCATAGAAATGGTCAGGAATGAAGGAAAGTTGAATATCACCAAATATTTGGAAATTCTTAAAGTAAACCTGTTTCAGTTAGATTTGAGACTAGGGTGGATGTTCACCTTCCAGCAAAACAAAATCATACTGCTAAGGGTACACTGGCCCAAGGCCGATTATTCGCAGGTAATTGCCGCATAGCGATTACATACAAGCAGCTGCAATTAGCTGCGGGAGCCAACAGCCTCCTATTGCTTTCAATTGCACTGCCTCACACAGCTAATCACCAGGACTCCCTGCTGATTTCCTTGCATCTGCTCACTGCTGCCAGAAACGCAGGAGTAAATGTAGCCTAAAGCTGGCCAGGGAACAACCGAGATTCGATCCATCTATGGGTTGGCTGGTTGTACCCAAGTCGATTGATTGACTTGGGTACAACCAACCTGCCTTTTTTTTTTCATGACATCACTGCCAGCACTGACTATTTTGTTCTGCTGGCAACACTGTGCTGATGGAGAATTGAGCGATTTTCTTTCCTTCCACCCAGGAAAGAAAAAAAAAAAAAAAAGAAACACATAATCTGTGGCCTACTTTACAGTAAATGTCTTGGAATGGCCTAGTCAAAACCCAGACCTCAATCTAATCGAGAATCTGTGGCGTAGCTTGAAAATTGCTGTACACCAACAAAACCCATCTAACTGGAATGAGCTGGAGCAGTTTGCCAAGAAAGAATGGATAAAATCAGAGTAACTAGATGGTAGAGGATATGTCCTAAGAGACTCGCAGCTGTAATTGCAGCAAATGGTGGCTCTACAAGGCGTTTACTTTTTTGGGGGTGGGGGGTGGAACAGATGATTTATATATACTTTTTTCGCCTTATTGTTTGTGTCACATTAAACAATTATTTGGTGGGCCTTCAAAGCCATAGGCATGTCATGTACATCACATGGTACAAAGGCTCAAAAAATCTTTTTTAATTCCAGGGTTGTAAAAAAACAAAAACAAACAAACACATATCTATACACACAGTGTCAGTCCCCTTGACTGTTGCTCCGCCCCCTTCACTGGCAGCAACATTATTGATAGTATGGAGCATGCACAGATGTACCGACAGGCTCACCCTGGCCTTTGGGACCAGGGAGATCCCCATGGTGCATCTGCTTCAACTTGTGCTCATCCTTTAGCCTGGGTTCACACATGTGCAGTGCAGGACACCGCATGTGATTTGGATAAGAATTGCACCGCATTTCTATTCAAATCACTTGAGATTCTTTGGGGTGTCATTAATTTAACACTGATACTGATGGCAGATCGCATGAACAGATTCACTGCGTTTCCCGCACCACATATATGTGAACCAGGGCTTACAACACTACACATGGAAACCTGCATGTGTGCAGATGTGTCGAAAGACTCTGTTGGGTCTCAAAGCCCAGCAGAGACCTCCAGCACATCTGTCCACGAGGGCGCACCATCATTCTGACCTAGGCAAAAAAAAAGGGGTAACTGCTGTTCTGCAACACCAGAATAAATAATTAAAAATAAGAAAGCACTAAAAAAGTATCCAATTGTGGTAGAGGAAGGGGGCTGGAGCCAGATACACCCATATTGTCTTGAGGTGAAGGTTAGCTTTAACCATTTGCCCTCCCGAGGATTTATCCCCCTTCCTGACTAGGCCATTTTTTGTGTTACGGTGCTGCGTTACTTTGATTGACAATTGCACGGTCATGCAACACTGCTCCCAAATGAAATTGACATCCTTCTTTTCCCACAAATAGAGCTTTCTTTCGGTGGTATTTGATTGCCTCTGCGTTTATTTTTTGTGCTATAAAAAAGCAAAAGACCTACAAATTTGAGGAAAAAAAACTATATTTTTTACTTTTTGCTATTAACCGTGTTAAGCAAAAAATTTTAAAAATCAAATTTCTTCATACATTTATGGCAAAATGTATTCTGCTACATGTCTATGTCTAAAAAAAAAAAATAACTAGTAATGGCGGCGATCAGCAACTTATAGCGGGACTGCGGCGGGCATTCTGACACTGGGGGGAACTGACTTGCTGTCACTAACATCCCCAGTGACACCAATACAGTGATCAGTATTAATAAAAAGCACTGACACAGTACTAATGACACTGGGCAGGAAGGAGTTAACATCTGGGTCGATCAAAGGGTTAATTGTGTGCTGTGTGTGTTTTACTATGAGGCGGTGTCTGTGCTTTCCACTGTAAGCACACTGCTTTGTATGGCTCTGCTATGCAGAGCCATACAAGGCAGTGTGCTGGAAAAGACAGGGGAGAGAACTGTATTGTTTACATACAGTTCTCTCCCCCGTCAGTAATACTTGGCGATCACCAGGTGCTGGTGAGTAATCACCGGCCGGGACCCAGTGATTGACAGTCGAGGCTGCGAATGGCGGTGCGGGTAGGGCTCACGTGTGCGCCCTATCCGGAAATGCAAAATCACATATACACATATATATATATATATATATATATATATATATATATATACACACACGTGATTATGCGCAACCCTGACTCCCTGTAGTAGTATTTCTGCTATAGGGCAAGCGGTTAAAGTGACTCTAAGGGCTTTTTTTTTTTTTAAATAACAAGCATCCTTACCTGCTGTGTGCAGTGGTTTTGCACAGAGCAGCCCGGATCCTCCTCTTCTCAGGTCCCATGCTGGAACTTCTGGCCCTCCCTCTTGTTGGGTGCCCCCACAGCACGCAGCTTTCTATGGGGGGACCAGCTGCTCCATGTGTCCATTCAAACAAACATGGAGCTGAGGCTTGGCTTGCCCAGTTTCCTCATTGGCTCACTGGCTGTGACTGACAGCAGTGGTAACCAATGGCTACTGCTTCTGTCTCAGCCAATGAGGAGAGGGAGTCCTGGGATAGCTGAGTCTCAAGTGCACATGCTGCACACAGAAGGTTTTTTACTTTCATGCATAGAATGCATGAAGGTAAAAAACATTGAGTCTTTAGAGCCACGTTAAGTCAATGCGGAGTATTTTTAAGAAATGAATAGCTTAGAACCATATACGTTGGTGGGGTTATAAATCCTACTGTCAATCAAGAAACAAAAAAAATGTATATATGTATATAATGTATTAGATTGCCTGATCAGCAGACAGCCTCAGTGAGAAGCATGTGTTAAACACATTCTTTATAAAAAGTGCATGGGACTAGTGGTACACAGAGCTGTTAGCACATGTGCTCTTCATTTAATGTACCTATATATGACCTTGACACTGCTATAATCATTCACAGTTTTCCTGAAAACCAGCTACCAAAACAGAGCGAACAGATGTCTACTGCACGTCGCACAATAAACATTATACTATATGCAAATGTTTAAGTTAACGCGGTGAAGATGATGGATTACCCTATAACATGACCAGAAATAAAATGACACTCAACCAAAGCAGATTACATTTATTAATTATTCAATGGGTGTGGATGGGTGATCTGGTGTTAAGAGCCTTGCACTTGATTCTACAAGGTCATGGGATCAAGTCCTCCCATCACTACTAATCTCCTAACGTCACCCGTAACCATTTCAGTCCACACAAGAAGAAAGCCTGATGGGCAGATCAGCTAAAATAACATTCAAAAGGTCTGAAATTTCGAGGCCATTGGTATAGTCTGCATTCTGTCTTGTAGCAGTGCTAAAAACACACCATGCAGGAAAACCATTCTACATATAGAAAAATAACTGCATCATAAAAACAATCCCATACAGCATGCATCTGCAGCCAATGCACGAGATCTGCACTACGCATATGCATAATTTCATTTCTACTGCAATAAAAAAAAATAGATCATTACTTCAATAAGATAGACCCTGCCCAGATATATGATATATTTCTGTAATCAAATATTACAACAGCATCTCCTGATTTCATAGACATGCAAAGAGAAAAGCATTATGGCAGATCTGTAAATATCAAAATGTTTATAAATAAGGAAACCTGAGCCATGTATGAGGATACAAGAGGCTACAGGAGCCATTTTTTTTTTAGATTTGTTGACACAATACCAAAACAAACGGGCTCTGTCAGCAATATTATAGGGGGAGAATAATAGGGGGAGACAACAAAAATGCAACTTCATTTATCCTGAGGCTGAATTAAAAAGGAGGGGGGGGCTGTGTACACGACATGTGTATAAAACCTCTAAAACAGGTGTGATTTTTATCCATCAGTATTAGACACTCCTCCCACAATGCATCAGTCTAGTGACCTGATGCAAGGGAAAAAAAAAAAAAAGGGATCTGCCAGCCATTCAGCACATGAGACCGCATCTGACCACCTTTGTTATTCTAGTAAAAAAAACATCTCATGCCAGCGGAGACAACCCAGTGAACGCATTATTCACCATTGGCAGGGTTTTTTTTTTTTCCAGAATCGGAGGATTGCAAATAAAAGGAGATCCACTAAAAAAAAAAAAAAAACACCTATTAAAAAAAAGAAATATATTAAAAAATGGATTTTTATTAAAAAAAAATAACAAAAAAATCTATTAAAAAAAAACAAATATAATGATTCATAAAAAAATAATAATCTATTTTTAAAAAAATCTATCAAAAATAAAAATTTATAAAAAATTAAAAAGGATTTTAAAAAAAGGATCTCAAAAATCATGATCTATTTAAAA